TGCTCAGTCGAAGGGTGTTATATTCAGAAAGACTGTCTAGAAATCTGATTCTGCAATGACCGATCTAAAATTTGTGCTCAGAGCAAAAACGACAAACGAATGTGAAAACTTTAAGCGAGAATTTGTAACCATACCTTCTTGAAGAGTGTCACCAACTCTTCTGTTTGTTGATCACCTCTCAAAACGATGTCGCGACTTCGGTCGAACAGGTTCAAATCACTGATATAAAGTCCACATTTCGATAGGTGTTTTGTGTCTCTTACACTAAAAAAACATCATGGGAGTTTTCGTTAGCAAAGAACCATCCATCATGTGGGAACCACTGAGTACATCAAAAGTGAGATAAAATGGACTGAAGACCATAGTTGCAAGTAGATAAAAACATAGTAAAAAGGTAGTGTCGGATTTTCATCCGATATCAGATATCCGTGTCACAAGCGTTGGTAAGCTGCACTACAGCTGTATATCGGTTGTAAATATGGAGGTCAGCATCGGTAGTCAATAAGTTCAAGAAATAACTAGTTGTTACTAAAAGACGGAAAAATTGACTCATCAGGAGGTTCGAAGGCTTTCTGAGATACAATTACACTCGTTTTCTGTCACAAAAATCGGGAGAAAATGAACTGTCAGGCCTGAATCAAACATGCCCTTTTCTTATTCTGAGTCTGCTTGTTTTTATTACACAGATTTACCTCGATTAGCTGAAAAAACCTCTACACCCTACCTATAGGAATTATTTTCTACTGAATTTTCAAATCACATACCCACGGTTGCGAAAATTCGGCTACAAATGCTGGTTTCCATACAGGTGTACACGAATCGTTCAAACAAACAGGATAATTCAGCTGCATCCAACGGCGCTGTTGGAGCAGCGATAGCACATTAACACAGTACGCCACATGATCTCGGTCGAATTCTGAAGAAGGTTGGTGCTACCGAATTCTAATAGCAGAAAGGCTTGTGACAGGTGATTTATTCCCCTTAGTTCTCCGAGGACTAGTGGATGATCCAGGACGAACGGAAGTCCGCCCCATGTAGGGTGAGTTGGGCCTGAGGGAGTTCCGCATGCGCTGTTACGTGTCAAAGTAGGGCCGTTTTATCGCAGCATCCTGCATTACAACTCATCGCTATTTCACTTATGATCCTGGAAAGAAGTTTTTGATATCATCGTGCAGGCAAGCCGGCAATGGTTATATTGCTAAGAAGATGTTAAACAGATTTCCACAATATCATAAGTCATCCAGTAGTGTACTAAAGAGCCAAACATTCTTATCCACCACAAATAGTTATAAGAGTGGAGGGAAATTCAATTTCTCTATAAACTCAACCTAAAAGGCAGCACGAAATGACTCGTGCATCAAACCTGTTAGATTAATTTAGAACTTTCTTCCTATTCGCAAGCAGAATTATTTATGTCATTGGTTTTCAGCTGGAGAGCTTTGAACACGGGAAGAACGCATTGTGATTTAGAGCCCTTTCTACAATTACCTAGGATCATTTTCTTAAGCATGCATTTTTTTTTGCAGAAAGGTACTACATTGGAAGGATCCAATCCTGTGAGTATAAGCACTGTTGCAACCCGATCTTAGTGCTTACATACCAACTGACAGTGGCACTACAGTCATCATCCTCACTGCCACAGCTTAAGAACACCCCTTTAAAACATAAACTGTCCCTTTCAATGGAACTCTCTACAGAGGTGCTATTACCTTATTTCTAATTGATAAAATTGACAGTTGTGGTTCGGTTAGGACAGTTGTTTTCTCCAGAGAGAGCCAACCGGTTTAAAAATCAAGATAGAGATTATGAAGTGGAGGGTGAGCTCTACAACACTCGCTTAAAGAACTTTCTTGGTGGTCATTTCCATGACATGGAAACCACTCTCATAAAAGAATACTTTACAGAAAATACTGATTCTAACCGGTTCCTTGAAATGTATCTCAATAACTAATGCCCTCAAAAAGGAAAAGGTAGTTACTGATTTCCTTACCTTCATATGGTAGTCTTTTAAATAGACAAGAATTTCTAACATCTCATGTTTCATGAGAGGCAATCACCTGTTTAGCTCGACTATGTACTCATTCAGCGGGGGACACGGACTTGAGAACAGCCACCATTCATACATACAACAGCAAAGCATCACTTTGAACAGTGATGTCCTATCATCGATAATGGTGATCACTGATGCTCCATGACGTGGAGGTTTAAGACTAGCGTGTCTTCAATTCTATCCCTGGTTCAATGGGAAGTTTCTGGAACATGTGGGCAAGTTTTGTCTCTAAGGCCACGAAAGCGCACCGTGAAGAGTCCCTCTGAAACCTTATGTCTATGTTGTTATTAGTAGTCACCTAGATCGAATTTCTGTCAATAATATTTGCCGACTCCTTCTAAAGTGCAACGTTCGTACGACAATTTTATTTGATCTAAGGTAACCGAGTTAACGCGTCAAACCCGAGAATCTAATTGGTTCACAAACTGGAAACAATAAATGAATGAATCCACAAATAGACGGTACTTTACTTACATTGGTGTTCCAAGGAACAGCATCATGTTCCAGTCTTCAATGTAGCACATTTGTCCCTTGAACCTAGTGGCACTCTGAGAAATTGAGCCACCTTTCCCCAGATTAACTGAAAAAGCGGAAATTGGGAGGCCTGTCAACTTTGATCAGCATACATTGTGTTTTTCCTATATTTTATTTTACCATGTGTGGTGGAATATCATTCAAATGAAGACAGTTAGTAGGTGGAGCAGAGCTAGCCAGCACTATTTAAAATATTCCTCATCAGGCTACACTCAGATTTGCTTGAGTATAAATTGAAAAAAGGAATATTTGTCGGAGAAAAGATGCCGACAGCAGAAGACTGTGATAGCTCCGTGTATTCACCACCAGATCGCTATTCACCAGCGTCCAACTTATTGAAACTGACCGCTTATAGTAACAAGAACAAGATAACCAGTTTTAACCTCTGTTAGACTTACGGAAGCGACCTGAATATGCGCATGGTGGCCCATGGTTCATCGACGGCTGCTTTATAAGAATCTCAGGTTTTATGAAAGAGTTCACATTATGTAATATAATTGCAAGGAAGGCTACATTTCGTATTAGTAGTTACTATTATTTTTATTGCTGTTATCGTTGCAGCTGGTGCTACCGATTTGGATAGTTGCTGTTGCTCGGGTGAAGATAGGTACTTGTTAAAAGAAATTATGTTAATTAGATGGTGCTTGCAGAAAGAATGCTAAATACAAAACTAGAACTGACAACTTACTCTGCATTTTCACGTCAGACATCAAGATTAACTCAAACGTTTTGTGGCAATGTAGTTTGATCTGTTGGACGAAAAGAACGTATAGATTAAAGTAAACACGACTCCTCAACTTTTAATTATTAAACTCCAAAAAGCAAATTGGGCCTGTACTCTCTATCAAATACGCATTTTGTTCTAATGTGTACGTTGCCCGTTATTCTGATTTCTAGCGGTTGAACGTCTGTTCTGGCGACCACAATCCTATGTTCCGGGTTGAGACTAATTGGCAATGTTTCATTGGGAAAACAGCCCAGTTTTCCCCAGCTGGAGCCAAGGTAGTCACAAGAAATGAACGTCATGGCTGAGATCCCTTTGTAAAAGATGCTGAGATATCAACTGATTTGTGCTGAAACAAACGGTTCGCTAAACACGCACGCAATGTCTGTTTTCTGCGGTTAGTTTCATACTCATTCAGACTCATACGCCGTAATGACTACCCAATGCAATTTCAATGTGTCCAAAGTAGCACATGCGTGCTAAATAACAGCTCTCTCTCATATGGAATTCTAAAAAAATTAACAATAACTTGCGCAATAATGTTTTCTCAACTCATCGCTACTGAACGCCACAGAGCGTCTAGCCGGAATCTGTGTTCCGGCTTTGTGTTCCGTTTGACGGTGGCCCCTTACTAATAGCAGTTAATGAATTAAAGGTTCAGGTGTTAAGGACACTACGAGGTCTCAAACGGAGGCTTCGTTCTTTAAATGAAATCTGCTGATGACGAAAAGTCAAGAAAAATAGACACATTACTGCAATTCACTCGAAAATATTTGACTACCTGATCAGTAGTACAGGAGGGAAGCGACGAAGTCATTTATTAACAAACACGGCTAAAAACACAAGTCATTAGACAGGATATTAAACGTTTCATTTGCACATGTTCTTTAAAAAACGGAGCATTTTCGTGTGCCATCTTGAAATTCCTTGGATATTCATTGACTACTTCATAATGGTAAAAGAACACTACAAAGCAGTTCCACAAGTTCTGTGATAAACCTCACTTTCAATTAAAAATGTGGGGCGTAACTAGAAAGCCAAAACATTGGCTACCCAAATGCTTCATCAGTAGTGTCCACCGTTACACTGATAGCTCATAGGTGTCATTCACGTGATCTGGTTCTGACAACTTTCTCAGGTGGTGATTTCAATACAAAGGCTAGTGTACCTTGTGTAGTGTTTTGCATCGTACTTTTTGCTTTCATTAACAATATTGCACATAAATTCACCGGAAGTAGAGAGTAAACGAAAGAAGAAAAGTATCTATAGGGGTTCACTCACCCATGACTAGTCACAGTTTCGGTGCCTTCGTAGACTTATGGACGAAAATCGATGCAGAATCAATCTTGTGTGAACTGTGGAAATAAACATGTGGGTTCTAGGCAGTGCTGCAATTCATTCTGCTGTCGGAAATGTCCGCGTAGTTGAATTTTCGGTCTTTCAGTAAATTAGCAGATTAGATTAAGGGATTCTGATAATGATACAACAGACATCTTTGAAATGCATCGGTCAAAAATGTGTTTCAAGCGACCGAACAAAGGTTGCTCTTTTTGAGCGTTATTCACTCCTGAGGGTGGTCACCTAAAACGGTGTCTTCAACCGATCAGAAGTTAAGGGATTCTTCAAGCTAGACTTTTTTATTGTAATGTGGTAATATTTTCTTTGCTCAACCGATTCGAATGATAAACGTACCTCGGAAAATACGGCTTCAATATTCGGGCGACTGAGAATAAAAATGTCGAACACTGATCTCCCCACCGTAACCTCCTCAAATTCTTTAAATCCTCTGCCAAGATTAACAACTTCGAGCTTTTCCGTAAATAGAAGGTGAAACTGGAAAATAGCTAAAAACGGCTCGCTCGAAATGTGCAGTGCAGATTTTGACGTGACCTCGATCGAATTTTTTGTGTTGTCCGTCCACACACCGTTTTTGTTAGTGATTCGAAAGGTGAACTTATTTAGTGTGTCCTCTTTTTCTCTTCCAATAAGTTCAACCTCAACGTCAAGGTTAAAAAGCAACATTGCAATTGCGGTCAGTTGTCCCCGAACAAACTGAGGGTAGTAATCACGTTTACTACAGTAAATAACTTCCATTGTGGTATTCGTCATGGCGGAGACCACAAAAGCTGGTGCTCGAATTCTGGGGTAGCTCATCTGCAGATGGTGATGTAAATCATCAAGTTCATTCATGAATTGTGGAAATCCATCACCAATAACACTGAGTAGTTTCTCGTATCCCATTAAGGACAAAAAATTTGTAAAGAAATAGCCATATTCGAAATAGATATCCTCTTCTGGAATATCAGTCAGCTGCGATACAGCAGTAACGACACGAGGCAACCAGGATTCTGGGTACACACCATGGGTCTGAATAACTTTCTGCTTCCCGCAAACTTCCTGGAAGGCATCCCACCACAATTCTTCGCCATACGACTTGGTCAGATACTGTTTTAATCCTTCTAGCAGCAGACCGTACATATTTTCTCTCCAGATGGTATGCTATCAAGGTTGATTGCACCATTTGCGTACTTATATTATGGTGGATTTCAAAGGCTCATTAAAGTAAATAAACAAGGATTGCATTGTTTGTCGTTCTTATGCTGATAGGGCGGTAACTGGTTCACAAGGATTTCCTGACACAAAAGACCGATGGGTGGACGGATGGATGGATGGATGAAATCTTGATGCCACACCCTTAGTATTCAACCTGAGTGAGCTGGTGTACTTTCAATGCCATCCGTAGCTTGGATGACCATTACTAGACTAGTGAGTGGTACTTGCATGTACAACAACGCAAGTCTATTTTGGACAAGTTGGTCCACGTCCACTGTATTGTGTTGTTAGTGCTCGATGCTTTCATACTTTCCTTATAAGAGAAGTTCAACGCATCTGTATGATAATGCAAGTATTATCGTTTAGTTTTGAAGAAAACGATCACAGACATAAAAAGGTTTACTGCAGAATGTGAGACAAAAGAGAGAAACGTCTCATTTAAGGTCATTCCACCAACAGTTCCAGTCATATAAGATGAATTCCAACGTATGTAAGAGTTTTTGGTATGGAAACAAGCGTACAAAAAAAGGAGAAGTAACAAACAAAGCTGAATGCGTTTTAAGGCGCGGTAAGCGCTAGCACAGTCAAGACTCGCACGTCAACCACAAAGTGTCCGTCACACTGGGTTCGGCATGAGACTAAATGGCAAGAATGTATACTCAGCGCCATTTGCCACGCATAAAAGTGCCGTAAGTATGCAGAGAGCCCACAATGGCAAGCAAACATTAGTCATTGACTCTGACCCAGTCCGATAACAGCTTTGGCAGACTGAGGGAATCAGATTTGTCGATAAGGGATGATCATCGGTTTCTGGATCAAAAAGTCGACATCACAACCGATTGTACGTAGCGTTAAGATTATGGCGAGGGAATATTCATCAGCACCATACTTCTGCTTCTCCTCATTCCACACAGTCACTCCGCGTTCATCCGAGGCTATGCTGACCTCTATTACAGTTGCTCGCCAATCCCAAAGAGCGATTAGTTCAGGCTTGACGAAGGACGTCGAAGTAGGTGCTCTCAACTCCTCGAAGACTGTGTAACCCAGTCGACTGAGACGTTTTGCGAGTTCTCTTGCAACCCGATTGTGATGAGCACATCTGGCATCATGTGTGATCCAGCAGGACTGCAAAATATGCACCAAACTCTCCAGTGGGCCAGTTTATAAGACATGATCTTCTGGCCACCATGACCATACCGAGCGCTTCTAACTCTCGTTTTGAGCAGGTTGCATTGGAGCTGGAAGTCGCGGATAACTATCTAAGGAAACATCCATTCTGGAAATACAAACCATCGATTTGAAAGAGGCGAAGCAACTAACCGTCAACGCTGTTGTGCAGACCATCACCCCAAGCAGCCACCAGCTCTACCTTGGTGTTTACGCATGCACCAGGGATTCGGATTGGAAGGCCGAGATCCCAAACAATCTTGCCAAATGCGGAATCGTTAATCACATTGCGTATTACTCAGCACTGAGTAGAAAGGAACCTTCCCATACACGCTCTCTGCTGCATCGGGATTGTTGCACACAGACCTTGGATACCAAGTCCCTCGTGTTGTTTACCGGCATGAATGTAGCTGAGCAGGGTGTCTTCCGGTAGACGTATCCAGCCACGACTAGACTGCCTGATGTAGTTGTCCAACCTTTTGAGCGTGTTTCGGTGGGCTCGGCGAAGTACGAGCGAATACGTCAGCCTCAGTATCAGGTAGTCCTCTTTATCTCCATTCTTTGATGCGGCTTCAATGGGTCATGCTTGTCCAGGCCTGAAGACGAACTGCTCATTAAACGGATCGTGCGGCCGACTTCCTCCCTGTAACCGGCTCGATCAAGCTCCAATTGGATGGTACTATTACGCGACTTGGCCGGCTATCCACGTGTTTTGGAGCTCAGAGCACCTGTTTCCAATACTGCTCGGCGTCCATAGGTAGGCCGCAGTTACTTTTGTATAGATCCATCTATGACTATTTGAGCACAGAAGACGCCGAATCTTTCCGTCTTTCGTAGTATAGAGTCTGGATGGCGGCATGGTTGGCTCGGCGGTTCTGCTTTCGGTTGACCGGGATCCGATGGGCTAACTGACGGCGACGTCGGGATAGTTTTCCAGGAGTGTGGAAATGTCTTGTAGGCGTGGAGGTCCAGAAGCGACAGGACACGCTCCGGTGTCATGATGCCAGACTGCAACCCTAGAGAAAATACCAAGAAGTCAACACAAGCCAGCAAGCGAACTTTCAGCATGGGATTCCAAGAGAGACATGGCGCAATTCACGGTTTGTTAAAACCAGACGCTTTAGTCATCGACTTCTGACGAGTAGGTCGCCATTTGACCGATGGTTTGGTCAGGTCCACCAGATGATAGTTCGTCCAGTTGTGCTTGCCATTTAAGCACCTATAACCTGGTTTTGATGCTGATAGCCGATCGGCCAGGAAAATGCTACCCCAATCCCCTGAATAGCGCGGTTTGCGTGCCACAAGATGGATATAAATTGTCAGTCAGGCGCAAGAGCGATTGTGACTCTTGCTGTGACCAGTGGGTATTGGAATACTTCACTCGGCCAAGCTTATGCCATGCATTATGCTGGGTGGTGTTTGTGCCGGCGATGTTGACTTAGGCCAATCTTCGTCGGAAAAAGGCGGGAACAATCAGTGCAAGCCAGGTGAGCAGCCACGTTCGTACCAACATTTTCATTGTCGTCAACTCGATGATGAGCTACCAAGCCAGCTTTCGATTTGCAGCACATGCCACATTCCTCACACGTGAGCCCAACGATTCCGTCCTGTGTACTGGTTGGAACTAGTGCGGATGCGCCAGGTGATTCGTAGTATACATTGTCGAAAGTAACCAGCATATTGAAACCAAACAGGGTGGACAGCCCTGTCTGAAGTTGTTTAACTCCTCGCTCATCTAGACTGACGTCCAAGCTACCTAGTCGGCACCACGAGGAGGTGGTTGAGCTCGCCGACGTATCAGATGAAAGTACTTTCCAACTTGTATCCCTTATCATGGGGTTGGACAAAACGCAGCTTTCAATCCAAAGATCACGTGAAACAGAGAACATAGCAATTTTTCAAGGACCACATATTGGGTTGCTCCAACTGATCATGTAGGTTTGTCTGAAGCAAATTATTACAGGGGAAGAAACTGTTCCACAGAATGACGAATGGTGCTCACTCTCCCAGAAAGTTGTTGGTAATCTCAAGTGGTGTGCCATCACCAAAGGACAACCTATTCGCAAAAAGAACAAAACAATCCCTTTTCTTTTAGTATTGGTGTACGTCGTGTGGGGTCACTTTTTACAGCCCGGGGCTGACAGCCACATGGCTTTGAATGTCACGTGTGGTTTAATGGAGTTAAGCAACCCTCTATTTATGTGAAATAGCCGAGAAACCTAGCACCAATGTCGAATCTGGCAAACGAAGATGCACTAGCATTTTCCCCGTTAAGTACCTTGCTTGCAAGTGTAAGAAAGAAGGTGAGACAATGAGGTCTTTGTTTTTCGGTGGCCAATATGCACTAGCTATCAGGAAAATATCAGTTGGTAGTTGTGGTCCAGGGAACAAACCTATGCCAATCAGACTACAGCCCACGTGTGTGCATCAAATTAGAAAGTGAATTTGAGGTTCTGTTTTATTGTGCGATGGCCGAGCTATTGGGTTACCCCTGCACTGATCCTGCCAGACTACGCGATAGGGAGAAGACAGAGAACTGGGGACACGGCTGTATTGCCAGGACAAAACGTACAGAGCCTCTGCGTAAATATATAGGATGACTAAATGGCCAAATATGCTCGTTCACTTGTTCGCTCCGTACAGCCAGTGGTGGTGTTCCGGTCGTGAACATTCCCAGGCCCACTACGCTGGTCGTGTGTAGCTAGGCCGTGTTTGGTTGGAGCCGTGTCTCGTGGGAGCCGCCGACTCACCTACTTTCCGGACGTGTCAAACCTATGGTGACCTTGGGGGTGCGTCACTCTGTGCACATATGCTTTTTCTTCTGTCTGGGCGCGCCCTGACAGGTGCGTTAGTGACAGATGGTAATATTGCAAATAGGCTTTATTTCTGATAACTATCTACATTTTGACAAATGGATTATAATCATGATTTTTCCTCAAAAATACTCTTCGCGTGACTAATAGCATGAGAAGTCACTGTTTCACATTCATTAAACTAGCCGTTTTCTCGAACCAATAAATCTGGAAAGACGTTACCACACGAAGATTATTCACACAAATGTGACAATCTGTTACTGATGACCCAAATGTTTCACTTAATACTTGTCTTAGGACCACACTACTGATAAGGTTGCTTGAAACTTTTCGAGGGTACATGGGCGCTCCATCCATCCTCGAGCTCATCGCCTAGGCACAGCCCCCAAATTTATCTGAATTAAGTTGGCAATAACAAGAGACTCCAGTAAACCCCAACTTAAGTCGTCATTTATGATATTACCCAACGGATGTGCTTCACAAAGGCTACCTCGTGTTTCTTCAGAAACGGAATTTGGTATTTCCATGACGCAACACAACACTGAAATGTGAGTTGGTACTGCGCAGCTGAGTCTCCCAGTGTGTGTTTTTCGCGAATTGTGTACAGCATGGGTCCAAGTAAAACACAAGGATGACGGATAATTGTGGACCGTGCTTTTGTCGGCTGTCGAGGAGTTTTCAGCAACCTTATGAGTAGCATCTTCCTTTATGGAAGCATGCTGCGATATTTCGAATAATGTTCCGGCTAGCATTCAGATGAGCCTAACTTTACAAATAAACCAGTGTGCAAGAAGATGGATCCCCGCTTGGTACACCGCACTGTGTAAGTAGACACTTGTGCATCCTGGTTCGTAGGACATATTACTTCACGTTTCCCTTGGCAGTGCTACTACGGTAGATATGTCAGAGAAGACTTCAGTTAAATTGGGGAAAACGCAGCGAAAA